TTTTCAAAAAAAAATTTTAGTTTTCTTTCCTATTTAGAAGGGAGTAAACTTTTACCAAAGAGAATCATATACTTTCTCTACTTGTTTAAGGAGTAGTTTTTAATCTTTTATGACCCCAAGTAATTATTTTTTTGAAAATATTACCCGAAGTAATTAGGGTTTCCCTACAAAACAAAATTTTGGTTTCTCAAATAATAGGCAAATATTCAATCACTTGTACAATACCCAAATGGGATTTCTGCAAATTCAAGGATTACAAAGGCAACTCCTCAAGAAATTAAAGAGCATTGTAAAAAAGTTGTTTTAAAAAAAAGGAAATTAAGTTCATAAAATTTACAGCTATACATTATTTAATTAGTGATGGGAGTTTAAGCTGCTGATCAGGGCTTTACACAAAAGTCCAAAGACCGTTTATGAAGAATGCAGAGAGATGTGGAAATACAAAGTTTATAACAGAAGGAATGATTGTAATACAAGGCTCTCATTCAGTTAGGGGACAATTGGAGACATGATGAAAATGAAATCACTTAATTTTGATTTTTCCTTCATACTTACTTATGGGGATATATATATATAATACATATCAACTATTTCAAGGACAAGACCTCATTTCTAATTCTTTATTATCATTATTCCTTTTTTATTAATTGCTGTTTCTGTAGTCCTTGGTGACGGTTGCATCACGTAACTCATGAATCCCAAGTCCCATATATATATATATATATATTTATATATGTTATAGTGGATAATTAATTTTAGATTGCTCCATTAAAAGGAAATAGAAATAAATAAAAATAAACCATTAGAGTGATGAGAAGGATCAACATAAAGCTTGTTTTCCTTTCCTATATTGAATATAATTACTGTAAGTTATATAGATTCAGATCAGTCTATGAACTTAATTTGTTTGACTAATTTCTGTTTTTTTTCTTTTTTTGCTTCATTAACAAGAAAAGAAAGTGTTGATTTGTATAGGAAGAGTACCAATACGTAGCATGGTTAATATCACACAATCTAATTGGTTGTTTGATTTACAACAACTCTCCTTGATAAGACCCATCGAAATGAATTCAAATCCCATTTTGGGTTAACATAACTTAAAATTTAATCATAAAAAATTTTCTCAATAGCCATTAGACTCTTTTCAGTTTTTCAATCAAAAATTAATTAAGTGTTTGCTCTTTTATTTGTTTTTTTTTTTGGGAACCTGCTGCCTCCTTCAGGAAGTGGAGCTTGTTCAAGTCCTTACACCTATTCAACATCAGCCGGATTGCCATCTACTTGCCCCTGAGTTTTCTACTCTGATAATTCAATTAATCATAAATCGTATAATAATTCACCAACTTGTATCTCTAACATGTGTAAGTTTTTTCCTCTGGAGAGGCGGCACATAATTTTGTATGTATATAGACCAAAATAAATCAATATACTTGAAGTGTATATTAGATTGGGATGAACAGAGAATCATTCCCTATTTACCTGACATCATTTTGGATACTCTAATAGATTCTTGTACGTTAAAGTGTCCTTGTTCTTCGTTTTCTTGATATCATCCAAAGACAACATTATGTTAAAGAGGTAATATTATAGC